CCGTCGTTCAAGTATCTCATTATTGGTGTACACCAATCCTCTTCCGCTCGTTGTGTTGAGTTGTGAGGTTTCGTGTTGAGGCTCGGGGTCCTCCTTTTGTACCGACACCAAGCGCGTTGTGTCGAAGTCTATGGTGGTTGCCAGCTTCGATAGGGCGTCAGCGTGGATATTCTCTTCCCGGGTTACTTGCACGTAAGTTACCGCCACGAACAATGTCGCTCGATGTCTCACTCGATCGATGTAGAGCGTGAGCGTGTCCTCTTTTGCGTCAAAAATCTCATTTAATTGGTTCACCGCTAGCGTGGACTCGGAAAGCACCCTTACAATTTTTACGCCCAACTCCTTGGCGGCTGTGAGTCCCACCAGGATTGCTTCATACTCCGCCGTGTTATTTGTTTTGAGGGAGCGGAACCTTATGGCGATTTCGTGTACTGCACCTGCGGGGGTCCGTACTACTATTCTCGCTCCCGGGCCATGTTTACTGGTTGCCCCGTCGACATGTACCTCCCACGTCCCGCTTGGGGAATCTTCCAACGTGACTCCTTCTACGATGAAGTCCGCCAAGACTTGGGCTTTGATTGATGGTCTGGGGGCGTAATGTATGTCGTATTCTGACAACTCTACAACCCACTTTGTCATCCTCCCCGACACCTCCATTGAGCTGAGTATGTTCTTAAGCGGTAGGTTGGTCAGCACCGTTATTGTGTGAGCTTGGAAGTAGGGTCGCAACTTCTGCGATGCGCTTATTAAGGCCAAGGTTGCCTTTTCTATTGGCGAGTATCTTGTCTCGGCGTTGAGCAGAGTTTGGGATGTGTAGTATACCGGCCTTTCTGCTTGCATTTCCCTCCTTGAGACTAATACCACGCTCACAGCTATGGGCGACACGGCGATATACAAGAAGAGCTTCTCATTAAGTTTTGGAGCGGTGAGTACAGGGGGGATACAAGATACATTTTCAACTCGTTGAATGCCGCTTCTCAATCTTGGGTCCATGCAAATTTTGTTCCGCTCTTCAATGTCTGAAAGAAAGATGCGCATTTGTCTGCGGATCCATGTATGAACCTCCCAAGCGCGGCAAGTTTGCCGTTTAGTGGTTGCATCTTGGTGGCGTTCCTGGGTGCGCGTAATTGTTGCACCGCCGTAATTTGCTTCGGGTCTATTCAATGCCCCGCTTCGTTATCATGAACCCTAGGAACTTGCCCGCTTCAGCACCAAACACACACTTGAGGGGGTTCAAGCGGAGATTATTTTCGCGCATTGCCTTGAACGTTTCACGCAGGTCCTCAATGTGCAAGTTCCCCCCTTTTGGTTTTGACGATAAGGTCGTCAACATAGGCCTCCATATTTCTCCCAATCTGGCGCGCAAACACAGAGTCGATCATGCGCACCGGTGGCACCCGCATTCTTGAGGCCGAAGGGAATCCCTACGAAGCAAAAATTCCTGAATGGCGTCATGAAGGTTGTTTTCTCTTCGTCTTCGCTGCTCATTGGGATTTGATGGTACCCCAAAAACATGTCTAGGAATGATACCACCTTGTGGTCAGATGTAGCTTCGATCAGTTGGTCGATCCGCGGGAGGGGATAGGGATCCCCAGGGCACACCTTATTTATGGTGGTGTAGTCGATGCACATCCGCCACGCTCCTGAAGATTTTTTGACGAGGACCACGTTTTCCAGCCAAGTCGGGTACTTGACTTCTCGGATTAGCCCCGCCGCTAAGAGTCGCGAGATCTCTTCTTCGATTGCTTTTAATTTGTCGCCTTTGAAGGTGCGGCGGGTTTGCTGTCGCGGTCTCGCGTTGTTGGGGTACTGCGAGATTGTGTTGTGCCACGGTCCTTGGGACTCCAGGCATGTCTTCTGTGCACCACGCGAACAACTCGTTGTATTCTTGTAGGAGTTTGACCAGCGGTTCAATCATGTCATGAGGGATATGTGTTGAGATGCGCACTTTGTTCGCCGCCTGGTTTGGATCTAATGGGATTTCGAAGTTGGAATCCACGGACTCGGGACGCGGGTCTTCCGACCTCGTGTCAATGATGTTTGTCCTACGTTCCGCGTGTGGCTCCGCCTCTTTGCTCCAAGGGAAGCCGCGTGCTTCACCCACCCCCGCATTGGTGGGGAACTTGAGCTTTTGGTGGCACGTAGAGGGAACCGCCCTGAACATTGACAGGAATAGTCTTCCCAATATGGCGTTGTGAGGTGAGTCGCAGTCGACGATGGTGAAATCGATCTGCTGGGAAGTTTGTGGTTTGACGTCACCCACCACCACCACCAGTAGTGTGATTGTCCCTATCACTGCTACGCAGGTGCCTGAGAAGCCCTCTAGGTTGTCTTGCGCTTGTTTCACCATGCGTGGATCGACGCCCATTTTTTCCAAGGTGCACTTGAACAACACATCTGCCGCACTTCCTCCATCGACAAGCAAGCGGTAGATTTTGCAATCCGCAATCAGTGCATTGATTGTAAGCGTGTCCTCCGACGAGATTCCGCGAGGAAATTCAGTGTCTTCAAAGCTTGTACTGCATTTTTTTAATAGGTCTGTTGACGCGCATTCCATCGCGCGGTCGCGCTTTGTTTTCTTCCGGGGTCTACTCCCTTCTATCGTGACAACCCTTATTTCTCTTCGCACGACATACGCCTTGCCGTGTTCCTGTTGCGGAGCAGGCGAAAGGTCGTAACTACTTTCTTTCTGCTCGTCTCTCCCTTTAATGCATTCAGTTAAGCACCCCCTTTTGAGTAGCGCTTCGATTTCCACTTTGAGGTTGAAACAGTCCTCCGTCATGTGCCCCGTCTCTCTGTAGAACTCGCAATACTTCTTGGGGTCGTGCATGTGGACCGCGGTTTTAACTGGGGCGGGCCAGTTGAGGCGGTAGCCTCTCTCACGGATGAGATGAAACACATTTTTCACCGTGTCGTTGATCGGGGTGAAGGTTTGATGGGCCCGCCTGTCTGGAGAGCGGTGTCGAGGCACATTCTCTAGTTGCAGGGAGGGCGGCTGCTCCCGCTGTGTCATTGTGCAAGCTGATCCAGCGGTATTGGGAGCTGCCTCCGCCCTTGTTCTTCCCTCGGCTGCTTTTGTTGGTCGGGACGCCGCGTTGATCTTATGTCTAGCATCTCCTCGAGCGTAATGGCCTTCTCCACTTTGAGCTCGAGTTCAGTTGATGTCACGACTGGTTTTTTGGCTAAAGCTCGCCTCAACTCCGCGTTGATTGTTGCTTCCATGAGGTGGTGTGCGGCTGCTTCTGGCGACAGGTCTCATACCGCCATGGAGAACCTCGACCATCTAGCATTGAAAGCCCTCAAACTCTCTCCCTCCTTCTGTTTGATGTCGATCAAGGCTTTGATGTGGAGTGGTCTTCTTTTTTGGGAAGTGAACTTTGTTGTGAAGAGAAATGTGAATTCCTCGAAGGAATTGATTATCCCGTTGGGAAGTCTGTTGTACCAATCAAGGCAGCTGCCCGCGAATGTAGAAGGGAAGGTGCGGCAGAGTGCTGCATTGGAGTTTGTTTGGAGTTGTATTCGCAGGCAGAAAGTGCTGACATGGTCTTCCGGGTCAGTTGTGTCATTGTAAGTTGGGAGGGTGGGTGTTGTTCCGCTGAGGTGTTCCGCCATGATTTGGGCGCTCAGCGGTTGGTGGAGCGCAATCCTGGGCGCAGACCGGTATCCTGGTGACAAGTGTTGTTCCAGGTAGCTGAGGTCACTTCGTGTTGCCGGTTCCGCCCTTTGCTCCAATTTTTCAGTAGCACGCTGCCTTTCAATGAGGGGAGGTGGTTGCGAAGGAGTGAGAATTTCTTTGTTCATCAATAGGGCGATGACCTGATTCATCTTCCCCTGCATGTCCGCGATCACTTCGTTTTGTTTCACCATCTGTTGACGAACTTCTTTGGCAGTCAGCTCGGGCTCTTCGTCTTCTATTAGCACGACCCCTAAGTTGACCCGCGAATAACCGAGGGTTGGTCATTGCTTTGACTAGAGTCGCTTCGTCTGGGTTGCTGGAGGTTTGTCCCATCATTGCTCTTTTCACTCGCGTTCCCACGGTGGGCGCCAATTGTTTGTGCCTAACTGGGTGTAGGAGGGAGGCACTGTGGGGTTTGGGGCGCGAGTGAGTGGGAGCGAGATCCGCTCGCACACTTAACAGGAATTAGAAGTAGGGAGAGAGTGGAGGGAAACTTAGAGAGAGAAACTTCTTTTATTTCTAGTTAGAGAAAGAGAAATCGATCCCCTCACCCACTAGGGTAAATGCTCTATTTATAGGCTCCCCTCGGTGGGTGGGGATTTTGGGTGACAAAACATCAGGACAAGACATATAACTAGGCTATCATTAGGTCTACGAATGTGAGGTGACAACATGTCAGGACTACGACGCCGTCTTGGTCTTTACATTGCGTGGGACTTTACTTCACGCGGGTGTGTTGCGCGGAGATCGTCGTTCTCGCGCAACAGATGTATCGACAGGTTATTCGACGTCGTATTGACCACATCTCTTTGCGCGGGGCTCTTGAGGCTGGCGCTCTAGTTCGCGCGGGCGGTGGAGGCGAGGTCGCGCGTCCGGACCTTGGGAGACTCGCTCGTGCCCGAGCTATGCCCAAATAGTTGACAAATAAAATCTTTTTGACTTTCGTTATGATAATAACGATCGTTTAACCCATCATAAGAGTATAATAGCGTTATGAGCATTATAAAACAAAATATCAAGAAATAAGTTGTGAATGATCGGTTAAAACCCATTTGGCATGATATTTTTCTTGCATTTCATTTAGATTTTCCATATTCCTTAATCCGCAACTTGCCCAAGAAAATCAAGATTATGTAATATGTATGATCTTCTTACTTTTTCCTCTTCATAACTTAGTCTGCGTATCAGAATCTTCAATGTTGCTTACATTAACAAAATCCACTCGCATCACAAACGTGACTCCTAATCAAATCTTCTGCAAATCTAGTCAACGGATCTTCATTTCTCCTTCACTATATATAACAATTCTTTTCGGCCCTTAACTGTCATAATACCCCTGCTTCTCGGAAATCTCCATTTCCGCGGGAGGAGAAAATAATAATGGAGTTCCAATATCCCTCCCCTGCCGCCATAACAATCCTCTCAACATTCTGCTTCTTGTTCTTCATCCTTCTCCTCCTCCGCCACCAAACCAAGAACGACAACAAGAAACACAAGTTCCCGCCGGGGAGGCGAGGGTGGCCGGTGATCGGCGACAGCTTCAGCTGGTACAATGCGGTGGCGGGCTCCCACCCTCCGGCGTTCGTGGAGCGGCAGGTTTCGCGGTTCGGTAAAATCTTCTCCTGCAGCCTGTTCGGGCGGTGGGCCGTTGTGTCGGCCGACCCCGGGTTCAACCGGCTCGTGCTGCTCAACGAAGGCCGGCTGTTCAAGTCCAGCTACCCGAAGTCGTTCCGAGATCTGGTCGGAGAGAACGGCGTCGTCATCGCTCAGGGCGAGCAGCAGAGGAAGCTCCACGGGATTGCTTCCAGCATGATGCGTGTGGAGAAGAAGAAGCTCGATTCGGTTCTCTTGGAGGAGATTCAGTCGGTGGTGATTCGGACTCTCGTTCGGCTCGACGAGGGCCCGGTGGTTTGCCTGCAAGATGTTTGTAGAAAGGTCGCTATGAACGATGCTTGTGTTCTTTTCAATTTTCCTTTTCCTTTCCCCTGTTTGAGTTTCAGCTGCTTAGTTAGTTTACTAATTTGTGAACGTTTTCAGGTGGCTATCAATCTGATGGTGAATCAACTGTTCGGCATATCGACGGAGGAAGAAGTGAATGAAATGGCGGAGCTGTTCTCAGTTTTTGTTGATGGCTGTCTCTCCGTTCCTGTCAATATCCCTGGTTTTGCTTACCACAGTGGAATGAAGGTAAACACTCTATAATTCGGTTACTTACGCAATTGGATTGAATGATTAACGATAAGATACGATGTATTTGGAGATAATTTTTTAGATAATTGTCACCGCATGCATCCAATGACTACATTATAAAACGATATTTTCAATAAGGTTAATAACTGAACAGGTTTCTTGTAAAAAAAGAAAACATGTTTGATTGAGTCAACGTTTTGATTCTAAGAGAAATTTTCTAGACCAAAAGCAATGAGCTGTAAGAGTAAGTTTCAAGATTAGGGTTACACCATTTGAATGGAGTATCCTTTCGTCACCATTACCTTACCTCCACCGGCATTAAGCTGAAAACAAGGGATCATGTCCTGCGCTGATTAGCTGTTACTTCCGAGCTTTGCGTTGATTGGGCCGACACCTAGTTGGCCCAACGGGGGTCCATTAACACAGCCGTGGGCTCATCTTGCCGTCGGTCAAATAGTGTTAGCTTCTTCTGATTGTAACGATGAATCCTTCCTAGCCTTTGGTTAGGCGCGGGAAAAAATCACAAGCAAGATCAACAAGATAGTGGAGAAAAGCAGAGAAGCGAAAAGGGAGAATGAGAGTGAGACAGGGACTGGTTTGCTGGGGAGGGTATTGAGAGAAGGAAGCATAGAAGATGATGCAATCTCTGACTTCATAATCAACCTTCTGTTCGCCGGAAACGAAACGACGGCCAAGACTATGGTCGTCGCCGTTTACTTCCTCACTCGCTGCCCGAAAGCAATGCAACAACTACTGGTAAAATGTCTAAAACCCTCATCTCATTCCCGTTTTCACTTGCCAAAATCTGCATCTCGATCTCCAATAATTCTATACTTTGGTTTGATGTATTGAACAGGAGGAACATGATGGACTGAGAAGCAACGAGATGCTCACTTGGGAAGATTATAAAGCCATGCCCTTCACTCAGTGTGTAAGTATTCTTCTTATTTCTTGTAAAAAAGAAGAAGAAGAAGAAGAATTGGAGATCTTTGAAAACTGAAAATGTCTGTACTTTGGGGAGATCAGGTGATTGATGAGACGCTTCGAATTGGTGGAATAGCAATCTGGTTGTTTAGGGAGGCCATAGAAGATGTAGCATATGAAGGTATGTACTAATTATCGAGTTCACGGCATATGTGGGTATCGAATATGTTACGTTAAATTATTTGCTAACCGGGAATTGGTGGGTGTTTCAGATTACATTATTCCAAAAGGATGCTTGGTGGTTCCATTTCTAGCGGCCGTTCACTTGGATGAAAATTTATACGAGGGAGCAGTCAATTTCAATCCATGGAGATGGATGGATCCTCAAAACCAGGTGACTACCTTGAAACTTAGTTATATCTGAAACAAGGTAGACTGAGCCGTGATTATATTATTACGAGATCCGTAATCGTTGGTTTAACCACGACGTCGAGATCACTGATTTTGATTGGTTTCATAGTTCCTCAAGGTGGAAATAGAACTGCATTTACCGAAAGCATGTGCAGTGGGTAGGGACTGATGTGTTTGTTTTGAATTTGTGCATGGATTGAATTTAAGGACAAGAGAAACTGGAGGAGTAGCCCATGTTTCACTCCATTTGGCGGAGGAGCTCGGTTTTGCCCAGGGGCAGAGTTGGCTCGTCTACAAATTGCACTCTTCCTGCATTACTTTGTCACCACTTACAGGCAAAACTTCCTTCTGACCATCTTTAAGAAAAACTGGCAAAGACATTTGCTAGCAACGCTAAATGACTAGCATCCCTTTTGGTTTTTCAAAACACACAGGTGGACTCAGGTTAAGGAAGATAGGATGTCATTCTTCCCCTCTGCTCGTCTCGTCAACGGCTTCCAGATTCGCTTGAGTCGAAGAAGACAGCAAGAAGAAGAAGAATCCAAACTCGACTCACAACCCTATTAATTTTAAGGTCTCACGACATCATGTTTCCTTGGAATACAAGAAATTGGAGAAATGATGAAACAATCATACTAGTCTTACACTAAGTTTTTTCCATTTCTCCTACGTAATCTTCTTATACTATACATCATTAGTTGTCTTGCAAAGCAAAGTTTCAATAGTAATATGCCAAAAGGAAGTATTGTTTCTTTAACAAGATGTTTCCAAATGTCATGCATATAGAACAAATAAGGAAGGAGACTCTGTATCTAAATTCATCTGAAAATACACATTCAGCAGATGTATGAGAGATTTTTAAGCTTACACGAGCACTGCAGGTTTCAAGCTTCTGCTATCCCTATGGAAGCACGTTTGGACTATTAGTATATACAGCAAGATAATTGCAGAATCTTCTCCTGTTTGAGGAATCGACTTCCAAGTTCTTAGCCCTTGTATGTTGATACCATACGTTGAATATCAAACAGCACTACACAATCTTATCCTTGTCGCCAAGGCGTCGCTTCTCTTCCTCAACTTGTTCCAGCAATGCCGCTATCTCTGCTTCGGTCAAACTGTCCAACCGTTTCTGGGAAAACATAGAAATGTTGATTTCATCATGCACCGAACAACAATTAGTAATATGAAAACAGACGAAATTAGTTCCACACATCCAACCGAAAGCTGCATCGGTGCTTTCAGTAGGAGACCAAATATGAATTGAGTAATTATTATTGATTGTCCAGTCCATACCTCCATGACTTTGTACTCATAGTCACGTAGCTGCTTCGCGTAGGTCATTTCCTTGTTGGAGACTCTGAAGATATAACTGAATATCCATCCAACAGTCAGTCCCAAAACCAATAGCACTTCAACAACATTCCCTGCCTGTAAGCTATCAACTCCAACATACTGCAAACATGATCCAAGCACGACATACACACGATCTTGTTAATGAATGATCACCAATCTCATTCACAAATTTCAGGCACCATTTCAATTTACTTGGTAGAAAGATACCTCTAATCCACTTTTCATGCCGTAACCTAGAAGAGTGAGTCCAACTCCAATGAGTATAACATCCTTCCTGGTGTACCCAAAAGGGGTCTACTTTAATAGAGAACCCCAAATTGGGAAACAGAAACAAGATCAGCAGAAAAGATCGAACCTTTTTCCTCTAATGGAACCCTAACTAGGATGGGTATAAACCAACTTAGGGATGCGAATTTCAGTGATAAAATATACATGCCTTGCCTTTATCTAAGCTACCATCTTCACTGGTGGAGGAACCACTACTATCAGAGGCAGAAACCCTTTCTTTCTTTGACAACGAGAAGCTGGACCTCTGTTTCCACAGCGAGAATCCGTGCTTCCTAACATGCAGCTCTTCTGCAACCAATCTTCCTGATAAACAAAGACGACCCAGGATAGAAAAGGATTAAAGAAGGCAATTGCTGAACAACTAATTGAATCCAGTGAACAGAAAGCACAGTAACGATTCCAAAAGAGGGGTTAGGGTGGCAGTTAGAAGAAGTTACCGGGGGTGAAAACGCTGCAAATTGTTGAACCCAGTTGCGAGCATGATGGCGAAACTGAAATACCCAGAGAAGGAATGAACCTTTCTTGGCATGAAATGGTGGAAGGTGGAATCTTTGGCAGAAGAACAGCCATTCCCTTTCCGTTTCTGAGAGTGAACCACCGAGAAAGGAGAGGCTGGGAAAAAACGATAAGAGGCGGGCAGGCACTACAAATGCACATTCCCGTCTTGCGCGTGTTTGGATTTGATATTTTGCGGGGCAAAAGTATAATATGTCACTGAACTTCGCATTGTTTCCTCTGGGAGTACTAAAGTTTGCATTTTGCTGCACATTGATCCTTACTAAAATTATGGGTGCTATTAAAGTTTGAACCAAGTACTTCTGTTGTGTTAAGGATGTACCATAATCTCCATTGCTGCTGTTTCTCATGTCCCCAATACTTCTACGTTCAAGTACAAGAGTTAAAAAGGAAAGTGAATGGCAAAATGATTATCGGAGTTACTGAGTGTGTTTAAACTAGTATCACGAAATAAAACACAAAATGTCATTTTTATTCAAGAGAATAATATTCAGAATGCCGACTTTGATTATATGATTTATGTTTTTGTAAATGACATGATACATTGATACTCAAATGAGCCATGATATAATTCAATAATTGTGAGCAAGCGATGGAAAATACTCATTGATTGAGAATTTACGAGAACATTATTGGTTGTATTTGAACTCACAAATCACAAGCGTTTAGCCATCGATTTCCAAGTCTACAAGGATCCATCTTTTATTCCACTAGGTACCCAAACTTTTCAACACGTCAAGGTTCTAGAGCACTTCAGAGCTCCGGCTGAGGATGTTAGGTTTTTTACGGTTTTGGCCTCGGCAATTGGGAACTTTTGTTCATCGTCGTAATTAGGTTTGGCTTCATCTTTTCCTGTTTCCTCAAAACAAGCTCCATTCTCGAAGTAATCATTTACGGAGTAGAAAGTCCATGGCTTGCTGTTGTGGTCAACACCTTTTCTCCAAGTTACCTACATATATGAAGTTCATCAATAAAGTATCAAGCATGATATATAAGTACCCGATTAGTCAAACCAATGAATTCCTTAATTGATCACTACCTCTTTCTTCCCTGATTGAGGAGCAATGAAGTAATTAGATTCACTCTTGATGCTGGGGTTCATGCTTCCACCAATCGCATATTGAGTCCACCCTTGGTACAAGTTGTTGACTACGTGTGCATATCCATATCTAACCCTATTTCATCAATAACAAATTAGGTTATTAATTCATCAATGAACGAGGAAAAAAAATTCAATGAGTGATGAGTTTATAAATAATCAAATGATCACGATGAAAGGTTACCTAGGCATACGTTGATTGCAATTGGGTCCGAAATGGTTCAAGACAACTGTAACTTTCATTCCCCGATCTCGTAGGTAGCCATCGTCGTGGCCAAGAAGCATGACCTTGTCTTGGTTCCTAAACCAGTTGTTCGACACGGTCACATTTGTAGATCCACGGGTGACGTCCAACAAGCCATCTTGGCAAGAATAGAGGGTATTATGGTCAATCCACACTTCTGATGCGGTCACTAGTCTGATGGCATCCCCATCCATTGCGCCCAGTGACATGATCTTCCCTCTTGGACCCATTACCAAGCTTGGGCCCTGGGCCTTGCAGTGGTGAATATGAAGCCCATGTATGATCACATTGCTTGCCTGATAATTAGTATTTTAATTATTATTTATTAATGAGATAGTTAAAAACAATATTTAACAATGACTTTTAAAGTAAAACTCTTCTTTTCAATTGTTTTCAAGACAAAATTAATATGGTGAATATAAAAACTTATGGGAAACATGACAATATAGTTATATTAAAATTGAATGCATATGATTTAACATTCAGAACATACCTTGTAAATGACAAGACATGCATTACCCTCAATGTGAACACCAACGCCGCGACCATCGAGGGCAGTGTTGCTACTTATTAGAAGGACTTTTTGAAGCGTGATCTTCATGTTCTTTTTAAATGTGATCCATGTTTTCCCTTCTATTAATGCTCCGTACCTTAGGGTTCCAGGTTTAGGATCCAAAGGATCATCGCTAGGATCAGTAACTTTATATCGAATGGTTCCTTTTCCAATATTATTGGTCATCTTTCCAGCAAACCCGACAGAACATTTGGCTAAGCGTTGTCGATGTTCGCGCCAATTTGTATCTCGTCTCCAACACTTATCGATCACGTTCATTGGCTTGGCTAGACATACATTTTGAGCGAAGAAGAAGAAGAAGAAGATGAGGAAGAGGGAAAGAAAAGAAGCAAATCGAAATGGAGCACCTATCTTCATATCTCGTGAACTCCTTATGATCGACAACTTCTTTCTTTCCCTTTCTTCCTTCTTTCCCCTTCTTCTTCCTCCTCCTTTGTTTTAATAAATTGATGGTTTTTTATTATTAAAAAGGTTTTTATAGAAAGAAAAAAGGAAAAAATGAAGATGTTGGCAACCGCTAATAAGTTTATATTTGTTTCTTTTGGAAATTGCTATTAATTTTCCGTCTTTGTTTTCCAACTATCATTATTGTTATATTGGAACGGTAGCAAAAGAAAACAATATAAGCATCACAAAAGAATTTCTTGAAATGAAAACCTCAAGTCATGAATTTTACTAAATTTGTATACATTTTCCACCATCGTCACAACCATATGATGAGTGGGGTTTTTTATGCATTGCCTTTCACCTACAAGGCAATTCATCATAAATTTCTAACTTATCTGGATATTGTCTGAGATGTTTGTTTCTTCATGCATTATTGTCGTTCCGAATAAAGCTTGTGGAAATGGGATGAAGATGAGTTTGTGCCCTAGCTCGTATTCAGAAATGTATATGTGTTGGCAAGATTATGAAGTTTTTTCTCCCTTATGATCTTAAATATGGTGATAAAAATAATTAACCCAAATCGAATGTGTTGAAGTCTAACCTAGTATCCTAGTCATCTTCATAGTTGATCATTGAGCTTCATTCACTCACTAATCACACCACACCAATCCATAGCCTATTTCAAGCTAACCATAACTCCCACATTCGTCTAATCGTCTCACTCTAAATCTCTCTTTACATCACAATTACTCCATCACTTTGTCTCGACTCTCAATCCTTGGCTTCACGGTGCATGGTTGTTCTCTACTTTTTCTAATTTAGCTCAAACCGACACAACATAGTTTAATTTTTTATGTTATGTAATCTATTATTTTACACAAAGTGTTCTTTTATCACTTGCTATTGATGGTTGATTGCTTTTTTTAGATATGACTGTTGTAGTTGACTTTGACTTATTTCATCTTCTCTCCTTCTGGTGGTTTTGTGGTATCTTTAAAAGTGTGTTGCCTTGATAATGTTCATCATGGATAATAAATTTAAAAATAATATTTTGTTTAAAATAAAGTAATGTATATTAAATTTTAAGATTACTTGTCGTAAAATCTAGGTAACCTTCTAACTGATGTATGTCTTAGCTGGTTTGGAATGCGAGAATCAAGAATCAGTTAAGAGTTCAACACAATACTACCTCTGCCATATAAAAATGCCAAATTTAGAACGATCTACTTTCGAGCTAAGAAAATATTTCAGTTTTTTGAAGTCTTTGATTTTTAACCCCTTGGGTATATGTCACTTGAGCTTGAAATCAGCTCCATACTATTAATGGAGACTCTAATATCATAAACATATATAAACATGATCAAACTGACTTCCCAACTTGGATTTTGAAAATTGAAATATCAGTACAACATTTTTTAAAACCTTATTGATGCACAACAAACCAATTAACTCGAGGAACCATTGCCTCTTAGCCTGCTTTAGATCGTACATGTATTTTTGTAGCTTGCATACCTTTTCCCCCTTAGTTCTAGGTTTTCCATGTAAACTGGGCGGTAACATCATGTACACCACTTCCTTAATATCTCAAGGAAAAAGGCATTATGTGGTGATTCTAAATAATTTGATGACAAAGGTGAATTTGGTGGTTCAAAATTTGGATCATTATGGTCTGGTGGATTAGGAGAAAAGACTTGAAAAGGTTTAGAAACTTTTGAAATGTCATTAGAGAGTGAAAATTAGGAATTGGAGTTTTCTGCATGTGAAAATATGCCGAGATTCTAACCTTTTGCGTTTTGAGAAGACTTATAAAGGAATATGATTTTCTGAAATACTACATCCTTCCATATGGAAACTTAATGTTCCTCTAGATCATATGATATCACCCCTATAGTCTATAATAATATCCAATGAATAGTCTTCACTAATCTAGGTGCAAACTTTACTTCGTGTGGTAAAACTGATGTTGCATATGCTAGATAACCAAAAGTCCTCAAATATGAGTACATTCAAAAAAAAAAAGGGTACCACATACAACATCTCAAAGGGTATTTTTGTTGTTGATGACTGGTGAAGGAAGTCTGTTGATTAAGAAAGTAACATACCACACAAAACAACTCGATGTGGTGGCGGGTAAGCCTATAATGCTCGGGAAACATTCTACTGATGTTGATGTTTCCTTTGGACACTCGCATTCTATTGAGAAAACTTCATACAAACCAGCTCATGAATAATTACATATTTCAAGAAAAATAGTCCTTCATGTGAATTTTTTTGTCCTCTGTCAAATTTAATGAACTAAAAAAACGACTTGTTAACATAAGTCAGAACAAATGCACAAAAGGATTGGAAAAAAATTCACAGCCTTTTTAGATTTCCTAAGATAAATCCAAAGTCCAAATGCTTCTACGGGTCATTAGGATGCATCATTTTGGTTCTATGGTATTTCGAATCCAAATGATGCATTATTTTGCTATGTGGCATTTTATGTGGTATTTCATTTTGAAATGTGGTAATTGGTGTAATTGCCTTGTTTGGATAAAACATTCAAATATTGTGGTATTTCACCACTTAAAGAAGGGATGAAGTGGAAAAAGAAGTTGGGAGATGAGGTATTTGAAATAACTAGGGGGTGGGTAGGTATTTCAAATAACTCACAATGAGTTATTTCAATTGACTCATGGACAAAATACCACATTCTACTTTATTTTTTCCAAACGAGTTATTTTGATTGAAATACCTCATTCTAAGTTATTTCGACCAAATTACCTCATCAAAATACTGCATCCAAACGACCCGGTAAAAGTAACCATTCGTAGGAGTAGCAACATTGTCTCATGTCTAAATTATGAGCTTCATTGTTTAATTTGTATATACAATTTGTATATATGTACTGTATTTATTTTGTTTCTGAATTTCTTATAGTTTGGTGGTTGAAGAATCTGCAAGTCCACTATGCCAAATGTTCAAGGCTTACGAATGGATGTTGTTGTTGACTTTTGTGGCTAAGAGTGATAAAAATGTATAGACTTTTATTTACTTGGCCAAACCAATCCTCTATTGACGATCACAAGGTATTGATGATCATCGGTGTCTCTTATTGTCATGCCTAACTGTTGCTTGCATAGTTTCATCACTCTAGGGTTTCTGAACATTTTCTTAGTTCGTCATAACCTTCTGTGAAATCAAGTCAAAGTCGATCTTCCTGGATTTTCTTCTCCTATTTCCGAGGGACTTAAGATGATTATTATGGTATCTTTCCCTTCCTTTCGAGAAGTTGACTCGTTCATTTTGGTTGGTGTTCTCCTATTGAGTCGTATAATTGACCCCTTTCTCTACCTTTCTTGTTTGAAGTAAAGGTGTTTTGATTTGTTCCTATTAATTGTTTGGTTTGTTTTGAGGGATTAAAATGCGACTTGGTTCCCCCTTTTTTTTTATCTCTTTCCCTTGTTTGTCAATCACGAAGTCGATGGTTCCAAGCTCTTCCGTGGAATGATTTGTTTGCTCTGAAGTTGAATGTTCTCTGAGAAGGCTTTCTAGTGCTCTTTTCGTGTTTTTTCTTCTTATTGGAATTTTGACCATTAATACTTCTTTTGCTTGTTGTGAATTTCCTTGATGAGTATGCATTCAGGAAATATTGCTATGTATTATTCCGTTTCTCTCGTATGCATTGAACTATTTTTATCTCAACTCAGTGATTTCTGGTATGCATTCATAACTACTTTGAATTCGTGCATTTCTCTATTCATTATGTGTTTTTTGGTATGCATTCATCTTCCACGTCTCCTTTTGCTGGAATTTGTCGTTGGTAATCTTTTTTTGAAGATTGGTGTAGAATTTTCGGCAATCAATGATGATGACAGAAAAATGGAATCACGAAATTGAAAATAAAAATATTATTAATATAACTTTATTTTTATTATTAGTATATTTTACTCAATTTCTATTTTCTTATTGATAGTTTAGACAAAAAATTGAATTGACTACTATACCCTTATTTAAAATGTATACTGATCAACCTACTTAAATAAAAAAATCTACCTAATTATAGCTTTCTATTGACTAATCAATTGTGTCATTACTATATAGTAATATGATGAATATTATCACTTTATCTCCTTGTTAATCCTAGTCGAATCATCTTCCATTTTCTGAACGAGATACCCAGAGATCGACTAGCTTGCTAACCCTATAAAGGAGTTGGAAAAATGATACCCCTGCCATTTAATGCATTATAGAATTTAAAACTCATTAATTACACATTGTAAACCCATATTAATTACTTACTTTTTTTAAATTTAAACATACACTAAATATAATTATCTCTCCCTATCTGTGATTCTTCCTTTCCCAGCAGCCTCCGACCGCCAAGTTTCCTCTAACTGCCTCACTTCGTCGGTGAAATTTTGCCAGCCAGTGGAGGATACATGCATGTTTAGGGGTGTCCCGGGATACCACTAAAATAAGGAAACACGATTATTCAACCCCTAGTAATAGTTTGTGTATGAGCAAAAAAAAAACTAATAATAATGTTTGAGTGGTAGGACACCCTTAAAATTTTGGAAAAGTATTATACAACCTCCCACAGTGGTTTGCGTATTTTTACAAATAATATTTAAGTAGTAGTCTATGTGATTAAACTTGGGACACTGCCACTATTAGTAAACATATTTCAAATACAATACAACTCATTTGTTGACTCGCTCGGAACTACACCGCGAATTAATCCTGACTAGAGCCCAAGTTTTTAAACTCTAGCCGGGTGCAGTTTAGGGCAAGTTTAATTGTCAAACTCGGGCCGGTCCATGTACCCCTACTTCAATCGCTTAAGTTGTTATCTAGCAAAACGGTTTTTGGGTTTAAAACTAAGAAAACTACAAACTAAACAAGCAAGGAAAGTACATGCAGGGGAATTCTATTTGAGAGAGCTTCACCCGGGTATTGCTCCCCCTAGTCTCATGCTAAAAAGCGAC